GGACGCCCGTCTAACACGACTGCGACTGACTGATGACGGCACGAATGAGTCCGAAGCAACAGCTATATCCACTTTTGTCTTTGTCAATTTACATTTGAACCATAATTTGTCCATCTATCGCCCCGCGGCGCTAGTGCACCAATGTCTAACCAAACCAGAGACCTTCTTTGATGAGGATAATAGCAAAATATTTGCACGAAAGTTGTTTTGCTCCGCCTTCTATGTCTTGCTTCTTTCCGTTGGCTCGACATTGTAAGTTTAGCAATTAGGCGAATTAGTCTTACACAACGCGTTCTTGCTCAAGTAGACTTCTTCTTTCAACTAAATCCACTTTGGACAATTGCCCCGTCACACGCAGCCATCCTTATTTCCCTCCTTCCTCCATCCGCCCGCCCTCTTTCCGTCCCCCCGTCCAGATGTCCGAAGAAGACATTGAACAGTGCCTTTACCTGAATCAAAAGTCCTTTGACCCTGAGCAAATGAACAATTCCAGCGGTTCGGGCTCCGGTGCATTAGGCGCCCCTGCCACCACCGGCATTATGGCCTCCTTGGCCAGTTTCTCTGGACGACCTCCCAGACCGGAGATTCTTCGTGTGCGCACCCTCCTTTGCAGTGCTCAGTACACAACAGATGGTAAGTCCTGCTCTTCTGTTCTCAGCCTCTGGCCGGCTCTAAATCCCAGCTCTGTGACTACCTACTCTTACGTCAACTCTCTCTCTCTCGCCCTCTCGTCGCAGAACACCTGGCCAAAGTGTTGCAGTGGCGACAACACGAAGACGATCTCATTCACTGTCTACATAAACTGGTCTTGTTGACAGAAAAGAGCTTCGAACTACGAAAGGTATGTATATGCATGTGAATGTCTATCCTCTCGCCAAGTCCTCGGTTTGGGGTTACTGTCTTTAATAGAGGTTTTGGCTAATTTGAATAATTCATGTGATCCAGTTGTGGAAATCTCGGCGGTCTCGGTGGAATTTGAACCAGCCCAACAAGAGGAAGGCCTTTAGTACAGCCATCGTTCTGGCCAACTGACTTGCGAGGTCCCCACCAGAAACC